ACAAATGGTGCTGACATAACTGGATATCCATTTGCAAAAAAATGAAACAAGACCCATACCTCACACCATGCACAAAAACTAACTCAAAGTGGATCAAAGACCTAAATATAAAATTGAAAATGGTAAAGATCATGGAAGAAAAAATAGGGACAATGCTAGGAGCCCTAATACATGGCATAAACAGATTACAACCCATACATAGCCATGCATAAACACCAGAAGAGAAACTAGATAACTGGGAGCTCCTAAAAATCAAACACTTATGCTCATCAAAGGACTTCACCAAAAGAGTAAAAAGACAACCTACAGACTGGGAAAAAGTTTTTTGGCTACAACAAATCTGATCAGGGTCTAATCTCTAAAATCTACAAGATGCTACAACACCTCAACAACAAAAAGGCAAACAACCCAATTAAAAAAATGGGCGAAGGATATGAACAGACACTTCACCAAAGCAGACATTCAGGTAGCTAACAGACACATGCGGAAATGTTCACGATCATTAGCCATTAGAGGAATGCAAATCGAAACTACAGCGAGATACCATCTCACCCCAACTAGGCTAGCATTAATCCAAAAAACACAAAATAATAAATGTTGGAGAGGTTGTAGAGAGACTGGAACACTTATACATTGCTGATGGGAATGTAAATGGTACAAACACTTTGGACATCAATTTGGCGCTTCCTTAAAAAGCTAAAAATAGAAGTACCATATGAATCAGCTATCCCGCTCCTTGGAATATATCCTAGAGAAATAAGAGCCATCACACGAATAGATATATGCTCACCCATGATCATTGCAGCACTGTTCACAATAGCAAAAAGATGGAAACAACCTAGGTGCCCATCAACAGATGAATGGATAAACAATTTATGGTATATTCAGACAATGGAATACTATGCAACAATAAAAAACAATGATGAAGCCGTGAAACATAACATGGAGGAATCTGCAGGTCATTATGCTGAGTGAATTTAGTCAGTCGCAAAAGGACAAATATTGTATGAGACCACTATTATAAGAACTGAAGAAAAGGTTTAAACACAGAAGAAAACAGTCTTTGATGGTTACAAGGGTTGGGAGGGAGGGAGGGGGATATTCACTAACTGGATAGTAGACGAGAATTATCTTAGGTGAAGGGAAGACCAATACACACTACAG